TCGTATGCCTTTTTTCACACCTTCTTTCCCATTTCCTTTACCCACCCCTCCTTCCCCCCATCAAATTGTGCGACCCTATGATTAACCAACCCCTCCTCCCTTGGATCCTCATACATGTCCTACAACAATGGTCTTAGACAATAGTAATTCTTTACATCAAACTGTTTTCAAAGTGACTTGTGGATTCTCTCCTGACTAGACTCAAGATACTGGGAGTTGCTCCAAGAAACAGACCCACAAATCAAGGACTTTGTGGTTTGGCTCATTCGTGCCTTTGGGCATGAGCACCCTTTCTCTTTGCTGAGATGGTAGCAACTCATGTCATGCAGACATCCCGTTGATAAAGTGCCCATCAACAGACATGCTTTGGAAGCTGCACTCTTATGACCATAGACTGTGGATGGATTCTCGAGTCCACTAGAGCTTACAAAGGCAAAATGACCCCAAGTCCATCAACCCTCCACTCAAGTGGAAGCCTGAGGATCTGAGAGGTTCAATGACAGTCCTAAAAGGTGTTTCTGAGACTCATATTGCTAAAAAGCAATTAGGCATGATCTTTGTGTAACAGTCATAAGAATCACAAAGATTCTTGGGTCATTGGTAACTCAGGAAAACCTAAAACTTGAAAGGGGATCCATTTGGACCCCAAAACTGACAATTGGTTATTCTGAACCCCCCCATCTTTGCTATTAGAATTTCATTATGTAAAACTGAAGCATCAAGGTGGCTTTAATTTTAGATGCTTTTGGCTTTAAGTATTTGACATCAGCTAATGACTAGAGAAGTCTTCAATGGGTTAACCATGCAGTCACCAAATGGCTAAATTAAAAAAAACAACAGGAGGCTGTTGAATAACCAGAACCTTGATATCTAAGTAGGGAAAGATGCTGAGGCTGTTTGTTCACAATTCCGCTATAATCCTTTGAACTGAGGTGTTGACAGGGGAGTATTAAACATCCCTTGGGCTGCCCAAAGATCCAATGTCTTGGGACAAAGAGCAACCTTGACGCTAGGTACTTGGGAGAATTTTCAGGAGGGTCTTATGCTTGGAAAGATTATGCTAGAATAAGTGTGTCAGAGGTAGATGAGAAACCATCAATCTCACTTGTTTTAAAGGTTTCTACATTATGCATAGCAAATCTATTCCAAACAATGCTGCATATAATGCATGGGGAAAGGAATTTAATGGCAAGATAAAGTGATGACAAATTATGGCAATATTCTAAGTAAAAACAACTGAAGAACTCATTGAACAAGCAAATTGCTAATTGTTACAGAATAAAAAGACATGACCACAAATAGCCAAGTAATTTTTATTGTTTCAAATATAAAATACTACAATATAAGGGACTTCGAATCCCCAAGGTCCTAGCTATGGCTTGACCACTGTTAATCATCCCATTCTTTTACAAAGTGTAAAATTGAAGACTTGAGATCGGTATTTCCCAGCGGGAGGTGAGCGAAGTCTGCTGCAACAGTAAACAAGTGTGTGTGGTCATTTCGGCACTCCTCAGTGAGGTATTCCTGATTTTTACTGTGATTTCCCAATTTCTAAGCCCTATTTAAGCTATGTAAAATGAAATCTAAATACTCAAAATGTCCTCAAGATACTTTTACCTGATTACTTAAGGATGGGCTTTTAGATTAGGTCACCTGGTCTGTGGTTAATTCCCACATCAGGGTTAAATCTTGTACTCCCCCACCCAATGCAGTATTAAAACAAAAGGTAGTTATTAAAAACACCAGGCAAAAAACTGGACAAGTTGATTTAGTTTCTCTGTCGTTTCCACAGCCAATTTCTAAGATAGGTGCATGAAGTAGGCTTACAGGATACAATGCCAAGTGACCCAACACTTTTTAAAAACTGGTTTTAAATGTCTTTGAAAATTAAAAGTTATGGTTATTAAAGGTTCTAGATATAATTGTTTTCCTAGTTTTACCTTGCAATTAAACCAAGTTTATAAACATGCTATTAGAATGTTTCACTTGCTGAAATAAACTTTTACTTAATGCCTTTTTTTCATTTGGTATTTTCAGTACTTGTGACATCATGAGGTTGGTCTGACTGTGATGACGTGTGCTGCAAAAATAAAACCAAGAACTGAGTACTTCCACTTACCAATTTCCTTCTTTCCCTTTTACGTATCCAACCCTTGGATTTAAGAGTGCCACCCAGACCTCAAAGTAGTTCATTCTGACTTTTGAGATTCTGCTGAGATTGCATTTTCCACTCCCACACAATGGGGGGTGGGGAGGAATCTGTGTTAATCCAGAGGATCCCATTAAACGTAGTTAATGATAACACTATCAGGGTGCAAAGTTTCAACAGAAGCTTAAACCAGAATGAACTGGCTAAGAAACCCTGATACCTTTCCTAGACCCACAGGGACAGGTAAAATTAACTGCCTATGCCAAACCAACTCTGATGGACACTGCAATGCAACTGGTGTGCCTTAATGACAATCTCCATTCTTCTGCTTCAGTAACTAAAAAAAAAACAAAAAAAAACAAAAAAACACAAACAACAAAACCATGCGGTCAGATCAGAGATATTTCCACATCTTAATAAACTTGTTATCAAAATTAGCAACTTGGGAGTTTTACAGAACTACTTTAATCGAAACACACTCAATTTTATAAATATTTATATTTCAATGGATTCAGCATTATTGGATAATAAGCATTATCCTGCCTTAGAAATTGACCCTTATAATGGAGCCCTCTAAAGAGATCAAGTTGTTTCACATTTAGTTAGAAATAACCCATATCTGATCCTATCAGCTGAAACCCTTCTCCAGGGTTTTCAGAAGTAGCTAATCTGATGAGATTATCCATTTGTCAGAGAAGCTGGTGGATTCAAACTGTGTGCCCCTGGGCTTACCACTCGTCCACCCTCGTATGTATAAAGTAGTGGACATTAAAAAGTTCCATTATAAAGAGGACTTTTGGGGGGAAAGGTAGGTAATTATCCAACAAAGAAGGAATAAGTAAAATTGGGGAGGGGGGAGTAAAATGTGCAACAATGAATGAAAATCTAACTTCTGTGTAAATGTTCATTAAAATAAATTTGCCAAAAAGTTTCATTCATAGAACTATATACATCGGCCAATTTATACCAATCAGATTAAAGGCCAATTCGATCACTTACCTTAGCATTTCATCTCTTGCTGTGACCTTTATCTAGTGTGAATAAATCAGCACTGCCATGACCACAAAGATTGATCATAATTTTCAACCTGTAAAAATAGATGGTAACTAGTTATTTTTCTTTACGAAAATCTTTAAAGCTTGCCTATAACTGCCCTCCTTTTCCACAAGAAAAGGCAAGTAGAGACTTGCAGTTTATTTCATGTTCTACTACTTCTTAATTGGTGGCAGATTCACTGGCTTGGGATGGACTGGAATGGCTTAAAATGGTTAAGTTGCATGGCTTATGGATTGTCATTCTGTTCCAATGGTGCACTGCCATGTTAAATCCATAAGTTGAACGGACAAAACTTATTTGAAGGAATAAGTGCAGTATAAAGATTTTTAGTTGGAGGTCTTCAAGTTTACTACATTCAAGAGCATCTTTTTCAACTTCATGGCTGGACCTGGGTCATGTTGCCTCAGGTTTTGTTTTTAATGACCACTTGCAATAGATTTTCTCCATAGTGTAGTTTCATAGAACTAAAAACAAGTCAGGCATCCAACTAAATGTTTGCAATGGCTTATAAGGGCATAGAGGGAGACCCCAAAATTAAGCCATTTCCTCTGTCTAAAAGACTAATTTGAAAAATATTCAAATATGAGCATGTTTAAAGGTCTTCCATCAAAAAATCTTAAAAAAAAATTCACCCCCCTCCCAAATCCCAGGTAAACAGCCATCTTAAGGCCTTTTAAGTGTTTAAAACATGCTTTAAAAAAAAAAATCCATGTGTTGAATTTGTAGCACTTCTAAAATGCTATTGAACATTTGCTTTTCCATAAGTTTTTTACATCTAGAAAGCATTTCCATTGCCATGATGTACAGTTTCACTGTACTATGAGGAGGAAAACTGTGTTCAATTTCGACTTAGACGGAAAAACTAGTTTGCTTTGCTTACCATCTTTGCTGTATCACAGGTACAAATGATGCTTTAAATCTGATGTAGAATGCTGATAGATTCACTTTTTAGAAGTCATAAGCCTTTGAGAAGTTGGAGAGAACTTCATTCATTGCTTATCTATTTTCTCCTTTGCAATCAAGCTGTTCCTTTAAAAGTGAGACACTACAGAGTTGCAAAAATTTGAAACAGTAAGAGCAAGCACCGTTTGCAGCTTCATGGTTGGTTTTGGCCAAACTCTTTTATTTATTCTGTAGTTGTTTAACACACACTTAAATGGTCTTACTGGGGGAAGGGAAAGGGGAGGCTCTTGCAGATTCCCAAGGAAATGTCAAAAAGGCAATATATGGCCAGCATTATCCATGTGCTTTTTTGGATTTACTGGGTGAAATAGCACTTTCCTTAAGTAAGCATCTGTTCTCAGGTTTTTCACACTGAGAACACTGAGATTTCAGTCTGAAGACAACCTGAAATCTTAAAGAGTAGCAAACCCAACCACCCTTCTATATTATCCATCTACCTTGTTTATATAGGCAGAATGATTCATCTGTCCATTTTAGATGGCTAGATGTCTGCAAAAAATCTTAGTATTGCTTGCCTCATTAACTGGGATTAATCAAATAGAAAGTGGCCTTCAGGAACAGTTAAAGAGAATTACAACACTAGTACACAAGTCAAGTCTTAACACATTCAACATTTGCTTATTGAAAGCAAAGTCATAAAAGCAAATAAAATTAAACATGTTTACTGCTTTTCCTCACAAGAACATAAAAATTACGGAGGAGAACTTAACAGGAAATTTTAAAAAGTAACACAATTTTTTCCTTTCAATAGTCCTTGGGTAGTTATGACAGAACAGGTTCCACTTTGTTTGTTTCATTGAACAAGGATTTTGGTCCAAAGTTTTGTTTGGTTTTAGTATCTGCTTCTGCCTCCCCCTCTATCAGATCGGCTTCCTCCGCGGCCACCACCTCTTGGTGCTCCGCGGCTTGAACTGCTGTAGGAATCACGTGGAGGAGGGTACCCCCTTTCCATAGAAGGAGGAAGCCCTCGTTCTTGTCTGCCAACCCGATCACGGCCACTTGAGTAGAGATCACTTCGGCTGCTTGAGTAACTGTCTCGACTTCCACCATATCCGTCTCGTGAGCTGCTGTAATCATCATAGCGACTGCTTCCACCATAAGATGGCGGGGGCCCACGTGTAGGTGGAGCACTACGTGAGTTACCTGCAGGGTCAATGGTCAGGTAATATGGCAACACTATAAATTGTATATATACAACATTTAAATCTGAATTTACAGAATTCTTGTATTAAACGTTTACTTTCTCAAATGGGAAAGTTTTAAACTGTGCCATTACTGGCCATAAAGGGATTTGCTCATTTGCTGAGATACGGAAATGGATTGATCTTAATGTTTGTTTGAAAAGACTGAAGACGATGTATTTCAAGAGGATATTTTCCAGACAGCTTGTTATTTTAGAGTAGAAACTCAGCCACTTTCCAGTGATAAGTTGCAATTTTGAACTGTAGACTTTCCTTCATATTGCAATGGTAAACATTTGATCTTGTTAATAAAATTTTTAAATTGTATTTTCACTGTTGGGGGGGAAAACACATAAAGCTGCCAATTTAAGCAAGCAAAATCCCCTCCAAAGCAAGCAAACAGCCTCAAAAAGAAACTGAGAAAAACAAAATCCCCTTATAAAACTAGGAAAAGCCCAGCTGATAAAAGTTAACCCCTAGAAAAAAGCAAGCAAATGTCCCTCTTAAAGCAAGCACCACACAGCCTAATAATAAACTGGCTCATGAACCTAAAAAGTCAAGCTGGTTCTATTCAAGACCCTCCACCAGTATCTTACCATAACTCTCATAGGAATCTCTGTAGGAGCCTCCACTTGGGTGATCTGAATAATCGCGATCACGACCATAGCCATCTCTATCACTGAAAAGGAAACGGAAATGGTTTTAAGTGGATCATATACCACAGTAATAATTATCATTAAAACAATGGAAGCAAAAGGAAAATTACCTATAGCCTCTAGAGGGATAGTCATCGCGTGAACTGGAATGACCATAATCACGATATGTATAATCTCTTGGTGGTGGTGCATAATCTCTTGTATCCCTAGAACTTGGGTAATCTCTGCTTGAATAACTACAGAAACAAAAAGTAATCAGTTTGATGGCATGAGTAGTAACCCCTACAATTTCTCATGAGAATGCAACCTCAACTTTCTCTTACCTATCTTTAGTAGAATATCCATCATCTCTTGGGGACAAATAAACATCTCTACGTGAAGGTAACGGTTCCCTTCTTGGTGGACCTCCGTAACTGTCTCTTCCACGTGATACAGGTGCTAAAATTAAAGGGGAGAAAACAGTATATTCACAAAGTGGAATCCATGGTATCAGTCTTTGTTAGTATTTTACCTCTACTCTTTGTTAGGCTGTATAGATTTATAATTGGAAGTGTACCTCTTCCACCCATTCCACTGCTGCTTCGAACTGGTCCTGAAGGGGCTGATCTTTTAGGAGGCGGCCCTCCACTTCGTGGCGGTGGTCCCCTTTTCACTGGCAGTGGTCCCCGGGAAGAACTCATGTTAAAGTTCATAGAATAGCCACCATCATCTACATTAAAAAAGAAAAGCTTTATCAGAACTCACAAAAAACAATTTCAAAGTTTTTTAATACAGGATTGATCATAATGTTAATTGGGGGGACTAAATTTCAGTTGTTGAACAAATATGAATGTTAGTCTTAACAAGTACATCATACATTGTTCCAATTTTAACAGTTACCTATGACTAGCAACCTTTTTCTACATAATAAACTAGCTGGATAAAGAACAAATCCGTTGTTCTTTTAAACCTTAAATTTGAAATTGTTAGGGGAGCTCTGGTGGCCTAGTGGCAAGGAGCTGCAACTACAATCCTAGAGGCACACGATTCAAATCCACCAGATGCTCTGCCGGGAAAGGAGGGACAATCTCCTCCTGTACCAGTCAGATCTGATTTGATGGTACACGCACACAAAAATAATAAAATTTGAAAAAAAAATTTAAAAAAAAAATAATTTAAAAAAATTGTTATCCTTTTCCCATTTTAATAGTACTGAACCTAAACATACTATGTGAATCAGCAGTTCCTAATATCAACCACAAATTCTAGTCAAATAATTACCCATGTGACCCCCACGTGAAGGGGGTCCCCTGGTTCCTCCACTTCCTCCTCTTCCACCTCGAAGACCTCTTGGAGGACCTCTGCTTCTTGGAGGTGGAGGGGGTCCACGTCTACCACTTTCAAATGTTGGCTTGGTGGCTTGTTCCACTTTGATAGCCTTTCCATCCAAAGACTGGGGGGGGGGGAAAGAAGGTTAATTATACAAAATTGCAGACCCACCATAACACTCTAAGACATTACTTTTTCCCTTGGTTTAACAAACACTTAATATGTTTTACTACACATGCTTACTGTCTTCAAATATCACACTTACTTACAATAAGAGTATACAAATGTTTATAAAACAGTGATTCACTGAACTGTCTTAATGGCACAATGTGAAACCAAACCCCAGATTATCCAAATAAAGGCTATCACTTTACAAATCTCAATACTAACATTCTCACTTAGTTTGAGTTGAGAAACTTGTTTTATCTTGGCAATAAAATGTGGTTCCAAGTAACTGTGATAGGAATATAAAATTATGTCCAGTCAAATTTAAGAGCTACACTAGGTCATTCTTGGCTAACAAGAACAGGCATGGTGTTTTATATACTAAGAAATATGGCATTTGTTGTGCAGTAGTATCACCTTTCCATTCATATCTCTGGCTGCATCTTTGGCATCCGCTGGGCTTTCAAAGGTGACAAAAGCAAATCCTCTTGATTTGTTAGTTTCTCGGTCTTTCATCAAGAGCACTAAAACAAAGTATGGAAGGGAAAAAGTGTCACTCCAGTTCAACAAAAACAATAAAGATAAGAACAATAAGAAGAAAGCTCAGAACTTCTTAGAGGACAAATGCATTGTCATTTCAGATGATCAATGTAATTTTTGTTCATCATGGCTTATTTTTTATTACAATAGCCCAACATAGATTTGCTGCTTTGTGTATATTTACCTTCTACAATTCGTCCATATTTGCCAAATACAGCCTCCAGCGCTTTCTCATTTGTTTCTGTATTGAGTCCTCCAATGAAGAGCTTTCCTGGGCGATCAGCTTCAACCATTTTTCCCCCGGGGGTATGTACCTGTTGAAAACAGGTGAGGGGGGATAAATAGTGTATTAACCTCTCTGGAAGTTTATCCATTATTTGAGCCTCTTCGCATTTATTTCACTAAAAATCTTAGTCCTTAAAAACAAAGTTCTTGATGGTACACACAAAAAATAATAAAATAAATTTAAAACAAACAAAAAAAAAAAACACACACCAAAGTTCTCTTTTCGAGGTGTAGAGCACAATAGGAAAGCCATTATAATACAACAGAAAGCACATTCTAAAAAAAAAAAAAAGAAAGTACATTCTAGAAATAATGTAATTTATCATAATCTGGGTTAACAGTCAACTCTTGCAATTAATTCTTTAACTTTTTTAGCATTTGTTTTTCCCTTTTTAAATTTTTTCTTAATTTTAATTAAAGTTTACAGACTTAGGGTTTCCAGTCTTTAATTGCTGCACGTTTCTCCCTGCCCACCCCTTCCCCCTGCAATTACTTTTAATCTCCCTTTGCTGTTTTCACTCAAATCAACTCCAAGACCCCTAGGTCCCTCGAATCCAAATGGTCATAACGACTTTCACTACCCTAATGCAGGGACTCAAGGTCAAGGACCACGTGCAGCACCCCACCCTCGTCTCCTTCCGAGGGCTTTTTCTCCCTTAGAGGCCCTCGCACATCCAAGCAGAGTGCAAAAGTTCAGAGCCAAGAGTGGCTCTTCCCTCCCCGCAGCCTCCGCGTCCCGCCGAAAATTTTACTATGTATCTAAAAGAGATGAGGCGTCGACGATGTAACACGTTAAATAACGGAACGTGGAAGCGCACAATGTAGCAAACACGGCACCCGGCGACTGCGGCAAGAAGCTAATTAAAAGCCGTCATTATAAACCGCGTGGAGAAAACAAAATGGCGACGCTTGGCGTCTGCCCAAACAATTGGCATCGACGGAGGGTGCGCTTCCCACGCAGGGAACCCCGACAAATGCAAAGGGCTTCCTCTCCCAGGCCGCCCAAGACCCCGCACCAAGCCCGCACGCCCATGCTTGGCGCCAACGCCATCCCGATGCAGGTTCCTCCACGTCCCGCTCCCCCAAGTCCCAACCTCCGCCCCTATTCCCGCAGGAGAGATCCCGAAATTACTCGCTATGCGTAGGGCATGTATCTCCGAAATTTACTCCCGACCCCCTGGGTTCTGGTAAACTGCTTGGCACCTCCGGGTTCTAAAATGGCCGCCCGCCGCCCCCAGTTTATTCTCCAGGGACATAATATAATCCTCACATTCTAACGCGGCCTGAGCTTGGGGGGGAGGCGAGGAAGACGGCTGCACCTACCGCCAACGCGATGACTGTTTCAAGTTCCTAGGAAACTCGCTGACGGGCGTTTCGATAAGGTTCCGCACGAGGGAACGCCGCTGGATATGACAAGAAAGGTAAGGCGCTCGCACTGCTGCGCAACGAGGGCGAACAAAGGAGACAGCAAACTTTATACTGCCCGGGAACGAGGCTGAAAGACCCGGATGGAAATCGAGACGAGATTTTGAAACACAATAGGAGGGGAATTGTGCCCAGCCTTTCTATTGGTCGAGGTGAATGTCACTCCCTTAACTCCTCCCCGTTGCCCAGGCTCTCTGCTTTAGGCCCGCCCCTCCGTCTAACCGTTCGCCCTACCCCCACCCAGTTTTGTTGCGCGCGCTTTTGGTGCCTTGGGCTTTTCTCCGAAAGGATCATTAATAAAGAACGGCCAAGTCCTGACCCTTGCAACGGCCCGGACATGGCCTTAACTCCTTTTTTTCTCGACAGGACAGTCGAGGTTCTTACTAGCCCAGTTGTACATGCGTGGAAAACAGAAAAGTTGGGTCGTCGTATTCTTTCCAAAATGAACTTGCAACATTTTTAATGAATGGAGAAAATTCTGATCACTGCCAGATGAAGGGGAGGGAGAGAGGAGAGACCCATACAAAACTGGCAGAGACAATGTATTCATGCAGGACATTTACTAAACACTTAGAAGGCAGGCTTGGTGGGCAAGGGGGAGGATACACTCCAGACGAAACCAGACCAAGGGCCAGATGCCTTGTGGCTAAAACTCTCCAGATATAGCTAGTACATGCCGCTGGGTGAAATTTTAGTTCCACGGAACAGCAAGTTTTTGTTTTAAGTGTGCACTACATGTCACACGCCAAAAAAAAAAAAAAAAAATTGGAGTTGCACAAAACATCACCATTACCAAGCCCAGTTGTAACGTAACGTTGTAACGTCTTCTTGGGAGACTAACCTTTTACGACATGACTAACTCCAGAAGGAAGAAGTAACAGGAAATCAGATCTGAAGCTAGTAAGGCAAAGTAACTAGGAGACGAGAGCCAGAGGGAAAGATTTTTCAGGGAAAGGAAAAAAATACGAAGTGGATGCAAGGAGCTCGTGTATCAAAGAACAGGAATTTAGGAGCGAACTGCGGGAACCCAGGTGGACAGGATCTTGGGGAGGATTTTAAGGCAGCAGGCATTGAAGCAGAGACTCCAATGGGCCTGTGAGGGCAGACTAGAGGAGAGTGTTTTGAATGATTGACTTGAATAAGGTAGCAGCTGTCATGAGGAGGAGGGAACAATTGCTACACTTTCTAGGCAAGAAGATTAGGCAGAATTTGCTATCATTTACATGAAGTAGATTGCCGAGGGGAAGGCGTCAGGGCTAGTGGAGGGGAAATGTGCTGGAGGAGCCGCCAGGGCATCCTGGGAAACACTGAATGGCTTTTGCAATTAGTTCTCTTTAGTTCCCAGGAAAGTTGGGGAGGGGCGGAGTAGCATGCCATAGACATGGGTCGAGGGTTGAGAATGGTTAGTTGAAGGAATGCCTGGGAAGTTCAGTATGGCTGGGAAGTTTCCCCCCCCAACCCCCCCACCCCCGCCAGGGGAGCTGGAATTGGGGGTGATGGGCAGGAATGACAAAGAAAGGCTGGAGATGGAAGCTGAAGGCCTAAACATTAAATCCGGAGGCCACAGAGGAGGGGAGGGTTTTTTTGAGAGGTAGAAGAAAGCGGAGTAATCAGATTTGCATTTTAAAGCAAGCACTCTGACTGCAGCTGGGCAACAAGATTAGCGGGTGGAGGGACAGAAGTCTGCAGATAAATACTGCTAATGTCTGGTGGCCTAGTAGTAAGAAGTTGCACTGCAATTTGAAAGATACACAATTCAAATCCACCAGCTGCTCCCTGTAATGATGGGCAGCCTCCTCTGGGGCGATTTACCGCCTCTGAGAATTCACTGCTAAGGTCAACTGTTCAACTCAACAGCACACAACAACTGCTAATGTAGTATCCTAGTACTCTTAGCATTGTACTTCAGCGTGATTCTTTAAATAATAGTCTCTTTGACTATGAATGCAACACCATTCTTTCTCAATTTTTCATTCCCAGCATAATAGATCATATTCAAGGCTTGATTCAATGTGGCCAATACCAGTCCATCTCAGTTCACTGATGCCTAGCATATCAATCTCTATATGTTCCGTTTCGGTTTTTACAACCTCAAATTTTCTTAGCTTCATACTTCATACATTCCACATCTGAATTATTCCTCAATGTTTGCAGTGGTTTCTCCTTATTTTTTAACTTCCAATCTGCGGCTCTACCTCTAGTACTATATCTAACCGTGTTCCTCTATTCACAAGGTTTTCAAAGTCCTGTGGTTTCAGTCCTGTGCTTCCTAGTATGTTTTAGAATTCAAGTCATCCAGTACAGCAAACTAACAGACAAGTGCTATACTCATAAGTGCAAACAATAAACAAGCAAGCATATATAAATCTAAACTATAAAATAAGCAGTAACATGCAAATCATTCCCCCAGTAATACAAACTTACAGATAAGTGATGCATCCATAATTACAGAAGATTAAAAAACAAGCAAGCAGACGGGTATAAAGGCATGGCAAGGCCCTCTGCAGCTCAGCTCTGGCTGAAGCTCGGGTGAGGTGGGGCAGAGATCCCCTGTGTGGCTCCAACTCAACTCCCACTAGAGTGGAGATATCATGGTGGCTGTGGCTGGCTCCTCAGTGCTGGTGCCTAGCTCAAGGCTGTCAGGGGTGGAAGTGGCTTGGCGGCCTCAGTACCTGGGGCCAAGGGAAAGATACAAGACTGTACAGCTTCCCATATGGATTACAAATCAAGATGAAGAAGACAAAAATCCTCACTACTGGGCTCAATAAGACAGATGGAGAAAAGATTGAAATTGTCAATGATTGGTTCTGGCAGTCATGAAATCAAAAGATGTCTTGCATATGGTGGGAGGGGAGATTATGGTGGAAGAGGAGGCTACGGAGGAAGAGGTGGCTATGGTGGAAGAGGTTATGGAGATCCATATGGAGGGGGTGGTGGTGGTGGTTATAGAAGGTATTAAAACCTACAGAAATTAGGTAGCAGTGCTTACTTCTTGATAGATTAGGCATAGTGTTTTAAGCAACATCTGAATACCATCTTTGAAGTAAACACATTAGACACTCTTGATTGCATTCTTGAATTGGGTAGATATATAAGATCATTGTTTTATACTACCATTTGATCTCTTGAATGAAGTGGTGCCCCCCTGCCCCCTATATTCTGTGTACCTACCTTTGAGCATGTTGTGTCTTTTTAAAAAACAAAAAATGAACAAAAACAATTTTTAAAACTGTAAATATTTATTACCATCAAACTTGGAAAAAGGAAAGTATTTTATTGTCACAATTGACTTTAGATTGTTACCTGTATTTTATTCAGATTTGAGACACATAAGTGACCCCATATGTCCTTGACCCTCTGCAGCAAGCACTTCAGGTCCTCCTCAGTTTCAGCAAGCAGGCTTGTGTCATCTGCATAAGGCAACATGATAGCATCTAATAATAACAAATGTAATCCAATCGGTAGCATCAGGATGGATGACGAAGAGATTGAGATTGTTCACAGCTTCAGTTTGCTCAGCTTCATGGTCAACACTCCTGGCACCAGTAGCCAGGAAATCAAAAAACGTATTGCGATGGGAAAG